GTAAATAGGGAAGGGTGGAGGGGGTGAAGGGAGGGCTAGGAATGGGGAAAAAATAAGAACCAAGATGCATCATGTAAAGGTACAAGTTCCCAATCAGAAATGTAAATGTGTTGTTTACCTAAAATGTACCAATAAAAGAATTTAAATTTAAAAAAAAAAAAAGAACCAAGATACATCATGTAAAGGTACAAGATCCCAATGATGAATGTAACTGTACTTTATACCTAAAATATACCAATAAACTTAATGGAAAAAAAAAATCTGTATCTGAGACCAGCTGAAAGCAGAAGCGGCTGGCATTTGGGTTGTAACTCAGGACTTTGGTCCTAAGTTAAAACTAAAATTCCAGTCATAACCCAAGTTGTTCATATGTCAGGCCAGCTGTAATTCGAAGGTCCACTGTATTTGGTTTCCTCAATTCTGTTCATCTCACAAATGATTGAACTTGCTTTCCTTCCAGGCCTAACTGCTCAGAGCTCTTATAATCATAGTATTATTAGAAAATAAAAATTCATTAACTCTAGGATTGTTTAACACTGCTCTTTAAAAAACGTACCTGAATATATAGTTTAAGTACTGCTGGTCAATATCACTAAGGCACAAGAAAGAAAAAGATAAGACATGAAATAACACAAGTAATTCTTAAATACATAAAGTAGTCATTATCTTCTTCAATAAATTCTAAGTAAGTTACCATTGTTGTAAATTATCAATAAATAGGAGGGGGCTGGGGATGTAGCTCAGTGGCGCTGCGCCCGCCTGGCAAGTGCAAGGCCCTGAGTTCAATCCCCAGTACCCAATAAATAAATAAATAAATAAACAAACAAATAAATAAATAAATAAATGGGAGGAAGAATAATTTACATTCAAAACAGTTCTAGTTTTTTTAAAAAAACCTGGATAAATTTTTAAAATTTCTTTATTTCTAAAAATTGTTTAAAATTTTTTAATTTGTACATAATAATTTTTCCTTGATTCATTTCTTAAAGAAACAGTACTTATTTAGCATATTGCACACATTTTCCTCTGTGGCCAACTGCTTCCCACTGGCCACTCTCAAAGGACTGTGGGTCCAGGCCACCAGCCTGGTTTCTAAAGTGACTGTATTTAACAAATAACAGCAGCGGTAACAAACAGTGAAACTCTTAGTGTCTATTCTAAATATCATACGGGATTTAAAATAATTATTTGCTGCTTATCTGAAATTTGAATTTAACTGGGCAGCCTACATTTTAGACAATTCTCCTGGCTTTTTCATCCAAAAGCACTTTATTAAAGAACAAAGGGATCTGGGCGCAGTGGCACACATCTGTACTCCGAGCACACTGGGAGGCTGAGGCAAGAGGGTCTCAAATTTGAGCCCAACCAGGGCAATTTATCAACTTAGCAAGACCCTGCCTCAAAAATATTTTTAAAAAGGACTGGGGATGTAACTCAGTATGAAGGCCCTGGGTTCAGAATCCAACACTGAAAAAAATGTTTAAAAGCTCCATGGAAGTCGAGGTTTCTCAGAGTGCATGACCTGCTCCCCTTCTTTTGCAGGCCTCTGGCAGCCCCAGCACAGCCAGGCCAGTCTCAGGCCCTGACCCCCAGCTCCAGCTTGGCGGGGCCACAGTGATCATCTTTTTCCACCTACCTTTGCCAAGGTGGTTCTGTTGGCTGCACATAGTGAAGGCCTCATTTTACCCAAGAATAGGCTGGAAGCCCGGAGACTCCTGGGTATAAACTGAGTCCCCCTGAGCTAGAGGTGTCCAGCCAGGGGCCCCAGCAGTGGGCCACATGCACACCCTGACACTCTCCTCTAGGTGGCTGTCCCGCAGGAAGGAGGCCGAGAATCCAGGGACCCGCAGCCAGGTGGAAGAGGCTCAGCAGCAAGAGCAGAGGGGGTGCTTAAGAGTGGGGTCTGCGCCCTGTCTTCACCTGGCCTTGCCATCACAGAGACTCAGCCCTTTCCTCGAACCCAACTACAACCATGCCCACCACCCCCAGCATTAAGCGCTTACCTTAATGTGCTGAGTTTCCAGGCCTTGCGTAGTATTTTATAAACCCCTGGAAATGAAGCAGTACGTGTGTCACCAGTGCATCCTGCTAAAGAGCCGCCTGCACTTGGGTGGGCACAACCAGGACAGGGGACCAGAACACTGGGGGCGTCAAGTGTGGGAACTCAGTGATCCTCCAGGGCGAAGCCGGCCAGTCCTTCAGGGGGCTGCAGAGAGGCCAGGCAGGGACAGCAGCTGGACAACAGGTGGATTCCACCCACAGGAAGGCTCTCTCCTGAGTACCACACCAGGACAGAGAAATGCCTCAGGGGTTCTGACCAGCTGGCCTGCCTTAACAAAGGCAGTGTGCTGCTTCTTCCCCCTAAGACTTCGGACAAGAGACACTGCACGTGTGATTTCAAAGGACATCAGATGATCCTTTGAGTTCACCAACTACGTTTTTTAATTTTGAGGGGTAGATGACTGAAAGAGAGTTTTTTACATGACCTTCTAGATATCCTCTGTTTATATGAGCAGGCCAGGGCAGGCAAAACCCAGGCCAACATGGAAAAGTGGAAATTATATTGGAAATGGAAATATTTGAGGAAAAACTCCACAAAGAAAAGCCAACCCAGAAAACACCCATTTTGTTTTAACTTTTAACACCTTGTTTTAATTTTCCTATACCTTAGGGTTACTGAAAAGTGGATATAGAATAAAGACTAAATAACAAACTTAAGTAAGCATTCTTTTCAAACTTACCTACACAGAATAAGTGAATTACAGCCCAAAAATATCCCTCTGGATCAAACTGTAACACAGATTAAAAAGAGAAAAAATGGATTTTAAAAATGGCTGGACGTCCAGAGAAACAGGACCCAGTGTTGCAACAGAAACCCGAGTCAGCTCCGTGCAGTGCCCAGGCCTTGCCGGTGGTCCGTGTCTCCTTGTTCATCATGCAGAAGCCCACAGCATCCTAAGAGGACACCACCTCCAGCAGCCAGTTCCCCATCCCTGCGTCCACACGGCCTGCGAACGCACTCATAACAAGGAGACAGATCTTTTGCAAAAGGATAAGGGACCAATAGATGGAGGGGCAAGGGAAAGGATGTAAAAAGAACTAAGAGTGTTATGTACATGGACTAACTTCCCACCATGAAGGTCATCGTGAACTGCAAACAAACAATAATACAAACAAAAATTAAAACCTAAAAAAAAACCCAAATGCACATGCATGGCACCCAAGGACCTCCAAGACAACCCCCACCAGCCCCTCCAAGTGCATCCACAGCCCCCAGCACTGAAACAAGGATGACCTGCATTTCCCTGGGCATGAAGACTTAGCTCCACAACTTGGCCGAAGGGACTCATCTTCTTCCCTTCCTTACTCTCCATAGGACTTAATATCTGATACACTCTAAAGTTTCTTTATTCTTTGTTTCCACTGCCACCTGCTCTCCACTACATTATAAATTCCAAGAGAGCAGGAGTTAGAACTGGGTAGACACAAAGTAGTTGCTCAATTAAACTGAGTCCCAGAGTACTTTCGATCCCTCCCACATGCTGGCCTCACCTGCTCTCTCCTCCTGGCCAGCTCCTGCTCACTCTTCCAGATTTGGGTCCAGTAAATGACGTCTGGGTCACATAGCCAAATCCTCACTAATTCTTTAGCTGCTGACCTTGAGAGCCCTGCTATTCTTTAGCTATAAAATGGAGATAATAATAGTCCCTGCCCCTACAGAGTCACTGTGAGGTTTTAAATAAAATAGGGCACATAAAGCACTGGCAAAGAGCCCATCCCACGGCAGGATTCCTGTGACTGTTAGCGGGCCCTACTTCCCGGCCGAGCCTCCTCAGGTGTAGGGGCCCGTCCCACCCAGCACCAACCCTGACTCCCCACGGGGGTGCTGCCCTGTTGGCTTCTCTCTTTCCTCCCCACCACTCTAAATAGACGCCAATTTCTGCCAGCACAAGGACTGATCTTTGTGCCCTCAGAGCCTGGCTCGGTGCCTGACACTTGGGTGACTTCAGGATGCTGGGGGAGAACGGGAGGGAAAAAGGAAAGAAAAACCTGTTCAGAAGATGACTAAGAGGCCGGGGGTAGGGTCATCCGGGCCTCAGAAGGAAAACCACACAGCCACTGAAAATAATGTGACAATCGCTCCCCATAGAGGCCCCAGGGATTCCAGGAACAATGACTTGGGCTCAGTGCCCGAGGCTGGCGACTGAGGAGCGGGCACACAGGGTGGCCGGGCAGGTGACAGAGCACCGAGAACTGGGGGCGGCTCTGCCAGGTGGAGCTGCCCGAAGCTGGCGGCCTGGGAAGCTCTGCGCGTGCGCGAGGCTTCAGCGAGGAGAGGCGCTTTACAGGCACAGCGCGTTCCCCGGACTTACCTGGGGGTCGTTGAAGGGAAGGCACCCCGCAGCGGCCAGGAGGAAGAGGGCACTGTGGACAGGCAGATAAAAAGGCAGCCTCACTTTCAACATCAAAGCGCCTCCCAGAGAGTGCAGAGGCGGAGGAGACCACCCCAGGGCCCCAGAGCCCCAGAGCCCCACTACCCACACCGCGTTCCCTCTCTGCTGCTCGGCTGGCCGCTCCACTATCCAGAGCCGGCCATTTGCCGGACACTGGAAGCCGAGGCTGGCTGCCCAGGAAGGCAGTGCGCGGTCCGGTGTCTAACGACGGGAGGGTTTCCAGCCCGCCTCAGGAAAAACACCAGAGACAAACTGGGAAGTCATATCACAATTGTGCTGGTTATAAAAAGGAAGATACATTCAAATCCTTGGCCACACCACCTAAACCACATGACCAACTCAGTGGCTCCAAGAAGGGACAGAGCCACATCACACCGTCCTGCCAGGACGCAACATCGCACACACATGTAATGTTCCTGCCAACACGCGGAGCCTGACCAAGCTGTAAGTGCTGAGATGGTCCTAAACTTGGGGACAGTCCACAAAGCGGCAGGTGGCACTTCAAAATGTGAAGGCAGCCAGGCGTGGTGGTACACACCTGTAATCCCAGCACTCGGGAGGCTGAGACAAGAGGATCGCCACAAGTTCCAGCCTGGGCTACAGTGAGTTCAGGGCTAGCCTGAACTACATAGCAAGACCCTGTCTCAAACCCCCATCAAAAAAATGAAGGCAATGAGAGGCGAGGAGCTATCTCAGATTAAAGGATGTGATACGGCCGTGCCATCTTTGAGGGGAAAATTGCTGGGAAAAAATACTGGGAAATTGGCAAAATCTGAACATGAGTCAAAATTAGATAATAGTATTAGACATCAATTTTCTAAATTTAATAATTGTGCTGGTTATGTAAGAGGTAGTTTTTAGAGGATGCACTTTGAAATACTGGGGTAGGGTCCTGGTCTGCAACTTATTTACAAATGGTTCAGAAAAATAATAATATATATTCTTCTTTGGTAATGTGTATGTATGTGTACACAGGAGAGGAGAGAAGATGGGGAGACCGGAAGGTGAGAAATGAAAATGTAAAGAATGTTACCAAGGGGTGAATGTAGTAAACAGTACGTGGGAGTTCATTTTAATATTCTGGCAACTTTCTGTAGGCTTACACTTTATTTACCAGCTAAAAAGTGTTACTAGAAAAATACATATATCACTGGGCATGCTGGTGTACGCCTGTAATCCCAGCACTCAGGAGGCTGAGGCAAGAGGATTGCTGCAAGTTCCAGGCCAGCCTGGGCTATCCAGTGAGTTCAAGGGTAGCCTGAACTACACAGTGAGACCTAACTAAAAAAACAAAAAAATACACACACTGAAATATTTACAGATGACATGCTGTGAAGTCGTACTGAAGACAGGCAGTGGGTGGGTCCCTAAGTAGAAACACTGCTGAAGCTGAGAGAGGGCATCCATCTGCCTTGCACTGTATTTTTCTGTCTACTTCTCATGTGTTTGATAATTTCCACAATACAGTGTTTTTTAAAAATTCTTGCACAAAGGAAAAAAAGACATCGCCAATCACGAATCTTTTTAGAAAGCTGTGCTCAACCATCACAAAGCCCCTTTGGGTGTTTCTCAGCAGGACTCTCTTGGGCTTCGTATAGGAAAAGATCTGACCACCAGCTTCCCCCAGTCATTCTCTGCTTCTCAACAAAGGCACCAGAAAGCACAAAATCCAAACCACCTCTTGTCCCTCTCCTTCCCATGCCACCCCACTATGGACCATTCCATCAGGTGTAAACAGAAGCACCGAGCACAGCACCCTGTCACAGGATTCTGTCACATGTCGCTTCATTGGATCCCTATTCTGTAACAGACCAGCAAAGTGGGCTGGGCCGGAGGCAGGAGGATGGGCACAGGGGGCCCTGGGAGGGTGGGAAGGAGCGGGTGTGGCCTGAGGCTAACCTCCATCCACAGCCTCCCCACCTCCCAGACACACACAGCCTAGAGGACAAGGCAGAGCAGAGTGAGGTGAGCAGAGGCCAGATTCTGGGGGCTCCCTGGGTCTGCACAGCACCCCACAGCTTCTAGGTGGGAAGAGCGGAGACTCCCACAGGCCTGGTGCTCAGCAAAGCAGAGGGCTTCCCAGAATACAGGGCGATCTGCGCACACAGTGACGAGCACAGGGACACCCAGCAGATGGCCCTGTGGGATGGGGGACTGGGGTGAGGCCTGGCTCCTGCACATGTGACCTGGAGCAGTGCCTGGCTGCCTGTGTATTCGTGGGATTCATGCCTCTGTGACACCTACAAATCTCCTTCGGAACAGGTGGATGAGTCCTGAGGTTTAGTTTTATGTATTTTTTTCTTCTTTCAAGTTGCCAAAAAAGGTGAGGGGGATTGGACAAAAGCCAAACCATAAGCCAAACCCATGTATGAAAGCACCTTTGTTGGCTTTCTGTCCATGGCTCTGAGCTGCTGATCTAGTGCCAAGGAAGCAGGAAGTAAGGAAAGCTCAAGGCCGGGGGTTGGAAAGAAAAGGGGGTAGAGGGACTGCCTGAGAACCCACGGGTCATGCTCTGCTGAGGAAACTGAGGCTCAGTGGACAATGAGACCTACTCTCACTGAGCGTGGTCTCACACGCCTGTAGTCCCAGCACTCAGGAGCCTGAGGCAGGAGGGCTACATAGTGAATTCAAGGCCAGGGTGGACTCATAGTGAGACCCTTCAAAACAACAACAACCAACAAAACTGCCCGAGATCACTGCACTGTGTCCTAGGATGGCAATTCGGATCCTGGGACTCACAGCTAGTGTACTTTCCACCACGGAGAATCTCAGAGGCCTGATGCACTGCCAGAACTTTTTTTTTTTTAATTTTAAGTTGTTTCCATGTTTTTCATTTTCATTCTTCTTTGGTGTTGCGCAACTATCGTGGAAGTTTTAGGACATCAATGGCTGAAATCTAGCATGCATTGGTTTTTATTTGTTTTCCTTTTAGGAGTAAAATATTGCAGAAAAAAATGAATAAATTTAAAAATAAAATACAAAATTGGATATGTAACTATTTATAACAAATTCCTCTGTCAGCGCCCAGAGTGGATATTTCCCAAGTTAAAATCAAGTTAAACTTTATATTTCAGAGGGCTGCTTTAAAAAACAAAAAAAACCCTTACCTGCAGATCTTTGCAGAAGATATGTTCTGTATGAAAGAAAACAGACATTATTAGTCTTCAAAAACACCCCCCACCCCCCACCCCCGCCAAAAGAAAACATTTAGATTAAGAGGCAAATAAATTACAAGCAAAGTCATGAAGGGGCCTAAGAGCTTGCTGCACTTTAGTATTTACTGAGGCTTTTTCTGCTTGGACCAAATGAAGGATGGGTCAGCTCAGAGCTGAGTCACTTCATGAAGCATCAGAAAGAATGTTTACTGGTGAAACCCAAAATACCAGCCCAGCCTTCCCAAGTTTTACCACCAAGAAACGGAGAGAGAAAATGCGATGCCACCTGCAGGACAGTAGAAGCAGCTAAACTCTAGTTCAACTTCTATTTTGTGTTTCTGTTTCCATTTATTCGTTTACCTTTTTTCTTTTTTGAGACAGGGTCTTGCTCTGTAATTCAGACTGGCCTTAAACTCACTTTATAGCCTAGGCTGGCCTCAAACTAGCAGCAATCCTCCTCCCTCAGCCTCCAAAGTCCTGGGATTATAGGCATGTGCCACCAAGCCCAGCCCTCATTTACCTATTTTTGAGACAGGGTCTCTCTGTCTTGGCCAGGCTGACTTCAGACTCCTGCGTTCAAGTGATCCTCCTGCCTCAGCCTGCCAAGTAGCTGAGACTATATAGGCATGTACCACCACGGCTGGCCACAGGCCTGTATTTTTGAATATTCCTTTTATTAATCCAATTCTGACTGTAAATTATCTGGTATGGTGTAAACATCAAACAGAAAAAAAGAGAGGACATTTTACTCCACCCCTGGAAAGGGAAAAAAAATAGCAGATTGGGGGCAATATAAACGTGGCATTTAAAACTCCCTGAAATAAATTCTAATTAAAGGCCTATCTTTATAAACGCCTGTTAATTAGCCAGGCTACGGGAATTGATCCTTTGCAGAGAGGAAGACAGTTCCAGCAGGGATCTGGCTTAGCTTTTTCTACATTCGATAGTGGCGATGCATATTAGATTCACTCTGGACATTTCTGGGATTATTTTGCTCCTTGGCGACAAATGACAGCTTTTGACCCCAGTTCAGATGGAGTGTGACAGATAAACACACTGTTTAGAAGTGAAGAGCTGACAAGAGAAACATGTTTGCTATGAAAGCTAACTGAAGCTTCCGTGTGTTGCTAATAAGCAGGTTTTTGCTATCTCCACAGATTCTATTTGCGCGCTGAACTATGCCTGCAGTTTCGGATCTTTCATCTCTGACCAAGGCAACCAAGGCTCTACTGCCCCCTGGCGGGAAGAGTTAGCGCCTGAAGCCTGCATAATTGCCCCCGTCACGGTAAAATCCCAACTAGAACATTCTGGGGCAGATGCAGTGGAAATCCCAACGATCTGGTACAAGAGTAGGAACAGAGAGGCAGGGATGTCCTGACTTTGTGCACCCAGTCACTGCCCACACCGCAGGCGACACCCAGCCAGCCCGGGCCTCCCACACAGCCGGGTCTTTCTTATTCTGCTTCCAAGCCCTTCTGGACTGCAGGGCCCAGACTGCCGAGGACGAGAACAAGCTGCGTGTGTTACTGCATTTTCCCCGGGATCGGAAAACACGTGAGAAGCTAACAAGGCACTCACTCTCCTGCTCAGGCCCCTGATGCACAGACAGCCTGCTGATGAGTCCCGGTGAGATGGGGGTTCTGACTGGGTCAGTTCAACTCCTCAGAAGTCCAACTGCCAAAAATAGCAGGAAGTGGCTAGCATAACCCTGGATTAGCTAAATTACCCTGAGGGCTACTTACTCTTCGAGGCACAACTCTAAGGGCTCTGCATGGGTTAAATCATTTAATTGTGGGATGACTGCTAGGGGTAGTGACACACACAGGAGGCTGAGGCAGGAGGAGTGCCAAGGGTTAGGCTACATGAGTTCAAAGCCAATCTCAACTACAAACCAAAAAACTAATTAAGGATGACTAAGTCATAGGTTCTCTGTTACAGACGAGGGCACTCAACACACTGAGATACTAGGGAAGTAGCCAAGGTCACGGGGTTTGGGCCCAGGCATTCTAGTTGCAGAATCTGACCTTATTCCACCACTGCCCACCTGCCAGTCCTGCAGTGACACCCAGTGGCCCCTCAGACCACCAGCCTCCTCGACATGCCTAGAGAGAGCTTTCCTCAGGCGTGGTGATGCACACTGTAATCCCAGCACTTGGGAGGCTGAGGCAGGAGGACTGCTGTGAGTTCAAGGCCAGCCTAGCTGTATAGTGAGACCCTGTCTCAAAAAACCGAGAAAGAAAGACAGACAGTCTGTCTTTATGGCTCAGCCTCCTGGTCCAGCTCGACCCTATCCCAGCCTGTGTGACATCCTATGAGGGTCACGGCCCAAGGTTACAGGTCAGCTCCTCCACCCAACTTTGCATTCTGTAAGGGTCATAAATGTCTTCTCCAGCTCCACAGTGTTGGACCTGGCAAAGTGTTGGCCGCTCATTATACATAATCAGTGCTGGATGACCGGCAGATCAGTGACCCCTCCAACACATCTACAGGGCAGGTAGCTTAATTCTATGAGCCACACACTGCCTTGAAGTTGAGCTGTGTGCATGTGTGTGTGCACATGTATGTGTGTGCATGCACATGTGTGCGCACACACATGAAAGGAACCAGCTGTGGTGATGGAAATGGACTACGGGCTCCAGACTATTCTCATCATCAGGGAACAAGGTCATGAGGAGGTCACTTTACTCCCCAGACAACTGACTGTGTGTAGTAAAATCTACACGTAACACAAAACACAGCCTCCTTGTAAAGGTGGACAGGGTGCGAGGTGCGGAGCAACTGTGCACCTCATGAAATTCAATCACTTCGTCAAGGTTCCTGGCTGAGGATCCGCAATGTAAGTCACACTGAGAAGATTTCCCACCAGGGACTCAGGCTACACCACCAGACCACAGTGGTATGTGAGCTAAATGAGACACAAGCTCAGCTGTCACATGGTTTCTCTCCTGTGATAAACCCAAAATTACATAAATAAAGAGCAAAATAAGAAATAGATAATGGGAAACAGGGAGATAGATCTTTTGCAAAAGGGAAGGAGACCAAGACGTGGAGGGAGAGGGGGAGGCAGGAGGGAAGGGGATGAAAAAAGAATTAAGAAGCCCTGTGTACGTGTACACACTTCCCCACAAGGAATGTGATCATTCTGCACTGCAAATATGTACTAATAAATTAAAATTGAAGGCAAGGAACATATCCTAGCAGTCTTCATTACAGAGCAGATCTGAAGGCTAAATTGCTAGAAACCACTTCCAAGGCTGGAGCAGCGACTGGTCAACACATTATGCTTCATCCAATGTGCAGCAATGGCAGAAATAAGGGAAACAGGACGTATCTATGGTGTGTGCAAATACATCCACAAACCTGCATAGAAACATGTGCAGAAGTGTGGTGGCTTCCTCAGGGGCGAGGGAAAGCTGATTTCTGTAGCGGTTTCCCCTCTGTTTTCTATAGCTGCTTATATATCAATATATTCATAAAGGAAAGAGGGGTTTCTAAAAAATAACTACAAGAACGCAGCCGCTCATTTTTTTCTAATTGGCCTGACAAATGATGTTGATTTGTGCTTCTGGCGAGATGGAGCTGAAGACTGAAACCTTTGGTCTTCATCCCAGCATCCCCAAGGCCAGGTGCCCTCAGCAGGAGCCTGGCACCAGACTGCTCTGAACAGAGGGTCTCCTGCCAGACGGGGACACCTCGAGCCAGACTCCAGCCCCAAGTCCTGCCCTCACTCTCACCTAGGTGATCCCATGCATCCACCCCTAGATCTGGGCACTGTTCACTTCTAAATTCCTAAGTCATTCCTCTGGGGATGAAGAAGCCTTTTGGAATCTGAGTGGCAGGAGCTGCTCTCCCAGCAGGTCTTGGGGGTTCTGAACCTGCCCCACAGGGACCAGAGTGACGTTTTAGCTCAGCACAGCTCTGGGGGCTGAGATGGAGCTATCAAGAGACCACCATGTGGTCCCTGTCACTGAGGGGCCCCAAGAAAGCTAGTCAGAGACACAGGGCAGATAACGGGCTATCTCATCGAACCTAGGATACCATGTGAAGTTCCACCTTGTTATATGCACTATGGAGGAAGAACGGAATTGCACCAGAACACAGCATGGATGTTCAGTGGTTAAGACATAGAGAAGAAGCCCACAATAGAAGCCAGGCCTGCAGCACATTCCTCTGCCCCCCAAGGGTGTGGCTCGGCCCTCGTGGAGTCAGTTGAGTTGCATTCACATCATCAAGAGTTCCCACACATATGTGGTCAACCAAGCAATGTCAAACTTGGATTCCCTGAAATCGGTGGCCATTGTCAGTCAGTCTTGGCTGGAAACTGGTGACAGAAACACACACTCATTTGGGACATCCAAAGGAAAGTATTTCTCTGAAATTTAAAGTAAAGAAAGTGAAACGAGCATTTTGAGATCATTTACCTCTTTCCGAAAACACTTCTGGTACCCGCAGATGATGACTTCCGCTGCGTTGTGCAGAATGAGAAACACAGGCACGGCCTGAGAGAAAACAGAATAATACATATGGAAATATTTTCTCCGATCTCACAGTTACCCGACTGTTAGTTTTTGCATAAACATCAATATCTGTGGAACCTTCGGAACTCACATACATCATCTCTCCTTTCTAGATGGGTGGGCACGCTTTCCTGGTAGGGTAGGTTTCAAGGCCCTGTCCTAAGAGTTTCCCATCAGCAGACATTTATTGGGCACCTCGTGGGTGACAGGCATGGTGCCAGGTGCAAACCCCCCTGAGGAGAGCCTGCCTTCGTGGAGGGAAAGCCCAATGCCTATGGAGAAGGGCAAGGAAAACCAAACACAGAGTAGGGCAGCAGGTGTCACAGGCAGGGAGGGAGTGAACTCTAGCTGTGGTTTCCTCCCCCATAGTATGGGGTTAGCAACACTACAAGCTTCAGCTGCTGCATGGAAAGACAGAAGTCAGGGGATGAGGTCGGTGCCCTCAGGACTCTGCCCAGAGGACTTCATCACTAACTGGCCTCACCTGCTGGTAAGGATCATCCTGGGAAGATGCTCCAGTTTATTGTTTTTTGTTTGTTTGTTTTTTGGGGTTTTTTGGTACCAGGGATCGAACTCTGGTCCTTGCGCTTGCAGGGCAGGCAGCAGAACCACTGAGCTAAATCTCCGGCCCCAAGATGCCCCAGTTTATAGACCTACTAAGGATCATGACAGATTTCTTCTTTTCTTATTTTTTTGAACCCATGGCTTTTGTAAAAAAAAGTCCATTCCCAGACCTTTTTTACTTTTTAAATTTTAAGACAGGGTCTCACTAAGTCACTAAATTGCCCAGGCTGCACTCAAACTTGCAGCCCTCCTACCTCAGCCTCCCAGTGCTGAGATGATAGGCCAGCACCACCACACCTGGTTGCATTTGTTCCTTATCTTTATGGTGGAGATGTATCTTTACTTTGCTCTTTACTTTGCAGCACTGTTCTGTTTCACTTCTCTGTTCCAGCTCACACTGTTTTCTTTTGGAATTCTTGTGGTACATTCTTCTTGCCTTTCTTAAAAAATATTTTCCGCCCTTATCTTTCACTAAAAGTTCAGTTTGGGCTGGAAATGTGGTTTGGTGATACAGCACTTAATTAATGTGTGCCAGCTCCCGGCACCAAAAAAAAAAAGAGAAAAAGTTCAGCTCACATTGGTTTTTCTTTTAACCCTTCTGAAATCAAACTTTAGTTCTTTTCACTTATCTCTTCTCTTTATTTTATTTTATTTTTGAGACAGGGTCTCACTATGTAGCTCAGGCTGTCCTTGACCTTGTGGTGATCCTCCTGCCTCAGCCTCCTGAATGCGTGGATCACAGGCGTGCACCACCACACCTTGCTCTGTCCTTTTTATTTATCTGAAACTTTTATTTTTAAGTGATTTAAGGCTATTAAAGGGAAAGGATCTGTTTTTAAATCTGGCTTCATTCATCAGGCCTTGCTTGGCAGAGTCGGGCCCAGGTTTTCTCATACTTGTCCTCCTTGGCTTGAGGGGACAGAAAGTCTGGGATGGGTGATGGGTGTGTCATGTGGTGCACGAAAGTGAGTATGAGAGGCTAACCAGGAACTTATCAAATTACAACTCACTTAAAATGGCTTTTGCCTCCTTGGTCATAAAATCAGTAATGAGATCAGATTTAAGATTGAGATTAGGGAACTTGAAACCTAGATGGCAAGGAGGCTGAATGCTCTCAACTTTATGATCTGTGACATTTCCTCATCTTCATAAAACCTACTTCAATCACATTCTGGAAGAGGACCTACCTGTAGGTGCAGAATTGATCTTAAAGCACGCATAATAGCTACTAATAACATGCTAAGCACGGTGCCAATTAATTTGTATTCTCTTGCTCAAACCCCATGACACAACAGTACCAACCAATTCATCTTCTCACTTAGAGACACAATTTACAGCTAATTTTTCCTTTAGAGTCCATTCACTAAATCTTAGCATTTCATTCATGCACCAATGAATTTTATTTCCTGTCTATGCAGAGAAACCAATGACTAAGTCACTATGACTTAGAGCTATCACATCATTCCAGCATTTCCCAGAAGGGAATTTGGAAGGCTCCATTGTTATTTGTTCAGGTGCTGGAACCTACTTGGAGCAGTTTGGTCTGGAAACCCTGGCCAGGTCCACAGGCATGGCCCTGGGGCCTCTGCAGAGGTGTGGCCGACTCAGTCATGTACAAGTTCTACAACAGGTCTGCCTATTAATTTTTGTGAAAGAACAGAAATCCTATCTTCTTTTTTTTTTTTATCCTTTTATTGGTACATTTTAGGTGTACAATATAATGACATTCATCATTAGAGATATGCATCTTTACATACTTTCTTGGTTCTTATTTTCTCCCCCTTCCCCTGCCCTCCTTCAACCCCTCCATCCCTCCCTATTTACAAAGAC